TCTGCCAGTGCTGGATTTACAGTCAAAAAAGAATCTTCTTGCCCATTAAAATAATGAGGGTATTGAATTTGAAAACAAAAGGGTTAGGGGAGGGGGTAATCAGTGACAGTTTGGCGACTGTAAATTTGATGACTAGTTTGAATTTCCCGGATGAATGTAATTTTGTGACGTGGTGTGGAATGGACGATTTCTATTGGCTCATGTAAATAGCTATTTCTATTGGCTTAGATGTATCAGTGACCGCTGGTGACTATGGTTTGAATTACCCGCTTCTAACGTCATGTAATTCATTTTTTCCCGTAGTGTATAAATTTAGAAGACAATTAGGCTAAGAACATAAAATTAGTTTCAACTACATTCAATTTAGTATTTACTTTGAAATACCTATCCACGAAGATCGTGTTCAAAGTTGAAACATAATTTGGTTTTTAGAGGGAAAAACATGAAGATGGAAACTAAACGAATTGCACAAGAAATAAATTCAGCGTTTGTGGCATATACACTAGGCAATGACATGGAATATATAGAGGATATGAACAGTAAATTTTTTTAAATATTACGAAAATATGTATGAAATGCATAATGAACATCTTTATAAATTAACTAGAGAAGTTTTTCTTGATTCAAATGAAAATATTGAGACGTTTTTCAAAGATATTTTAACAGAAATGTTTAGCGAAAATATCATAAACTGGGCCGTATAATTATTGTTTTTGTGTTTGGAGCGAGGTTAGCTGTTTTATGTATAGAAATAGAACTGATTTGATTGATCAAGTAATACATAAGGTAGACAAATACGTGAAGACGGAATTTTTGGAATGGATTAATATCCAGGGAGGTTGGGTAAGGCCCTTTTTTTGTTTTTACAATCAATGATAAAAACATTTAATTCGCGTCTATATACAGTATTATCATCAATCATTACTTAAAAATTTAATTTGTTTCCAACTCTATAGGCCTATATGTACATTATTTTTTTTCAAAACAATTTTGATCAATCGTATACTCAACAAAACATGATAGCAGAAATTCCTCTAATGAACGTTTCGTAGGGATAGCGTTAAGCCTAATAGCAATTTTGTATCTATACATCACATTCTGTTAAGGATGATATGTGTCAATTATGTGTATATCGAAATACACTTGTCCATGATGTTTCTTTTGCCAGCCGTCAATTGGTGTATAAAATACCTACAGGAACTTTGCTGGTGAATTTTACAATAAAGGTGAATCTGGTCCAGTGTCAGAAGAAAATGGCAATGGGAAAACTACACAGAAATATATTTCGATGTTCTTGTAGGACTAGAGCGAACCAGGTAATCTGGAATACTGGTATTTGTTTTCATGCAAAATTTGACCATTCAAATAACGTTACCTTTTATTATACAGTGGGAAACGTTATGCCAGTAATCGAGCATCACAACTCGAGATATTGAAGGAATTAATGGAAGAGCGTTTGATAAACGAACACTTAATACATGAATTTATAAATTATATGATGATCTGTATAATTAT